ACAGATACGCCAGCAGATCGGCAACTTCCTTTGGCGTCAACGGGTCCAATAATCCCTCGGGCATAATCGACAACGGCTGGGGAACTTGCAGTTCAATCTCGTCGTCCGACAACTCGAACTTGTTTCCATTCCGATCGGCGAATGTGCTCTTCGCCCCGCCTCGACGAATCAGCATCGCCACCAACGAGCGACCATCACTCGTTTCAATCGCCCACGACTGATAGTGGGGAGCGATCTCCCGGCTGGGCTGCAGAATGGTCTCCAGTAACTTTCGCCGATCCATCGAACGCGCTATGTACGTCAACTCAGGGCCAATCGACTCGCCGCGCCCCGCAACGCGATGGCAACCTCCACAGTTGGCCAACCGTGGATGAAAGAATACCCGTTGTCCCGCCGCAGCGTCACCCGAGTTTGGAACTTCGTTAAGCCAGCGATCCAGATCGTCGTGCGAAGGCCGCTTAGACTCGACGCTGGGATTGGTTAGCCGCCGCAGCATGAAAACTTCGTCACCGCCTGAAACTATCCCGGAATTCAGAGTCTCCTGCTGCTTTGTACTCAGCGTCACACCATACAGCGACCGCAGTGCCTCACGACGGATCATCCCATCGCCGCTGCCAGCGAGTTCGACCAGTTGGGCTACACGCTGGGGGTTATCTGCATTCAGCCCCACTATGGCTTCGGCGCGAACGGCCGGTAACACGTCGCTGTTCAAAGCCGTTCCCAAAAGGATCTCGTTCTTTTCTTCGAGCCCCGAATCTCGCAGCGCCCGCACGGCCTCGACCTGCAGAGCTTCATTGTCGGAAGTAAGCAGCTCCCGCAAACGTTCAATTGTGAGCGACGTATGATCAGCCGGAAGCATCCTCAGCGCCGCCAACCGCGAAGCGTCGGGCAGATCCGCACGCTCGAACAATCCGGCCAGATAAGTATCACCCTCCCGCTCGGCGTCTTTCGGCGAGACTCCATCCAGCAAGGCCAGCGAAGTCAGCGTGGCTTTGAGTAGTGTGCCAATCGTCTCCGGAGCGGCGAGACGTTCCTCGAGTATGCTGCGATACTCGCTTAGTTCCCCTTCACCAATCCACTGGGTCGCGAAGAACCGAACCTTCGGATCTTCGTGCTGCAGTAAGCTGCCGAGATGCTGCTCAACACTCGCAACACCGGCCGTACGTGCGGCGATCGCAACACCCAACAATTCGCTGCTCGAGAGTTCTTTGGCATTGATTCTCTCGATCAACTGCGGCCAGCGAACCAGCACATCCCGAGCGGCCTGACGTACGAATGGATCGTCACTGCCGAGCTTGGCCAGAACCATCTGCACCCACCCGTCGTTCTCGCTCAACTCAGCTCGCCTCAGCACCGCCGCTTGTACCAGGGGTGAATCGTCTTTCTCTACGATTTCAAGCCAGTCGGTATCCGTAGCCGGAAGCTGTCGCACGATGGCCGCTCGAACTTCGTCACTCGAGTCGTTCCGCATGGCATTTCCAAGTTCCGCAGCGTTGTTCGAACCATGAGTCGCCAAAGCCCGGGCGACTTCCACCCGCACGCGATCATCTTCCGAGTTCTGAAGGGTCTCAGCTAGAAAAGCATCACTCCCCTTCTGTTCGACCAACTCGCGAGCCGCCTCGCGCCGCACACGAACATCCGCACTATTCAACCGCTCTCGGGGATCGCTGCTTGGGGACTCCCCAGCATCTTCCTCAGCGTCCTTCGCACGAATTCGCCAGATTCGCCCCATGCGGTGCACGCTGTACGAAGGATCAACCCAATCGGTCACATACAGCGAACCATCAGGGGCGGACGCGATATCAATGGGGCGGAACCGGTCGTCGCCCTGGATCAGCACTTCAGCCGTCGAGCGATAAGAAGCCCCCTCGCGATGTAGCCGGTGACGTTCGATGCGGTGATGAATCCACGCCGAGGTGACCAGCAGATCGCCTTGAAAGTCATCCGGAAAACTCCCGAACTCGTAAGCGATCACGCCCGACGGGGCATCGCCCACGCCATTAACCATGGGCAACGTGCCCGGCAATTCACCATCCCACGATGTGAACGGATGCAGCCCCGTCCGACCGTTGCGGAACCGGTAGCCATAATCGCCGCCAGAAACGACGTGCAACAATCGACACGGCGGACGTGAGTCGGGGTCGTTATCCACGGCGAACAAGTTGCCATAGACATCAAACGCCAACGAGAATGTGTTCCAGAAGCCTGTGGCGAACCGCTCTAGTTCAGTTCCGTCAGTCCGGCAACGAAAGATACTCCCCCCCTCACCACCACCGCCAAGCGTGGTGCCGTCGCTGGCCACCAACTCGTACGGGACCCCAAGGTTCTCACCCAGGGCAAAGTAAACGTTGCCGAACCCATCAAGGGTTAATCCCGAAAGCCCGTTGTGCGGATAGTTCCCTTCCGTTAACAACTTGGCAATCGGCGTTTGTCGCTCGGCCACTCCGTCCCCGTCGTCATCATGCAACAGAAACACTTCGCGCCGGGTGGCGACGAATAACCCGCCGTCGTCGGCCAGGGCGATGCTCATCGTTTGCTCGCAACCTTCGAAGAAGGTCGAGACCTGATCTGCCTTGCCGTCCCCGTTGGTATCTTCAAACACGCGAATCCGATCCGCCGCCGGCCCCTCATACCCCTCAGGTCGAAAATGCGTATGGCTCTCCACCACAATGACTCGACCCTGCCGGTCGACCACCAGACCGATCGGCGTGACGATCTCCGGAGCCTCCGCGAACAATTCGATCGCGATCCGCTCATCAAGTGACTGCGGCATCGGATCAGCAGCGAATACTTCAAAGGAATGAACAAGGAATACCCAGCACAGGCACCCGAGGAGCCCGGCTAGCAACTTCGTAGAGAATGGCATCATGGGACAAGCGGCATCGTGGCGTGGGAATGTCGGCTCGACCATGTGACCGACGTGCAGTGCCACTGTAACCCATCGAGAGGCCGGACGGTACGTTTGAGCCTCCCCGAGACCGAGAAGCCTATCGCCCCGCCGCCGGCAGAGGAAAACGAGGCAGGGCCCAACGCCTCTGTTTCTGCATCGACCTTGGCCGAACTCCGCTGACCAGATTGGCCTCGAACCAGTGGTGGATTTCGTGGTCGAAGTTGCGGAGTGCGGATTGCACAAGCACAAGCGAGGCAGTCAGGCATACGGCCGAAACACTCCCAGTGATTCCCCACACCTCAGGCATCGAGCAGGTGATCCAAGCCGCCCGTTCGACGGTGGGCAACGCCAAAATGAACACGCCACCCAACGGTGTGGCGGCCGCCAACGTGTGGCTCCCCATCCGAAACAAGGCAAACGTCAGCAGCGGCATCCCCACCGACCACACTAGCCCCCGCACCGAAACCGCCTGATCGCTCTGCACTCGGGCGAAGTTCCGAAACGCCACCGCAAAGCACAGCAGCAGGTAACTGCCGCCGAGCAGAACAATTCCCGCCGCATCAATCCACGCAATTCGCCCGGAAATGACTGCAGCCAGGACAATCCCAATCGCGCCCCAAAGATATCCTTTCCCCCGCGTCCAGGCTGCCACTGCGCTGGCACTCAAAAAATCTCGCCCGGCCAACGGAGTGATCAACAGCAACTCCAACCGCCGCACGCGCTGCTGCGAATTGCTGTCCCACAGTCCATTCAGAAACGCCATCGGCACGACGGCCAACTGCAAGGCGGCCACCGTCAACAAAGCCTCGCCCCCGAGCGTGCGAATCATCTGCAGTTGGCTCATCGCCAGCCAACTGGGCCACTGGGCTTCGAACAACATCCAGCATCCGTACAGCCCCAGGGTGGTCCAAGTCAGGTAGAGATTGATCCGCCCGCGGAAATGGCTCACCCGTCGCCACGTCCACCACGCCAAAGGGTTGGTGCCTATCGTTCGCTTCGAATTGCGTCGGCCACCGAGTTGGAAGTAATTCTCCTCCTCGTAGTGCGCTCGCAACCTCACAACCAAACGTGCGAAACACAACGCAGCCACCAACAGCAACCCGCCTGTGACGACCGCCATCCGCAACACAAGCTCTGCATTCGGTTCGCTCGAAATGGCTCCCAGCAAACGAAAGGGGTTCAAGTAACGCGTCGTCGCCCCCACCTGGGCGAAGGTGGCTGCAGGAGTCCCGGTCAGCCCGGCCCACCAGGTGAGAATCTTCGGCATGAAGAAATGCCCCAGCAGGCCGAACACCACCAAATAGGCCAGCACGACCAGCAGCACGAGCCGCTCAACAAGTCGCCGGAACCACTGCGGTTCGTACGCCACGGTGGCCATGATCAGCCCCGACAGCCATCCGCCAACTAGCGGAACCACCAGCAACGCCACACATCCCGCGCCCGTCAGCCATTCCGCACCCCACAGTGCGAAGATCAACGGAGCGGTGGCCACCACGACCACGGCCGTGCGAAACATGCCCGCCACGATCTCGCCGGCCACCAGTTCCCAGTCGCCCGAGGGCGTCAACAGGTGGAACTCGTAACTCCGCGATTTGGGCAATTGGGTAACCCGCCACGCCGTGAGAAAGCCACCACAGACGATAGCCGTAAGAAGCTGAGTCCACGTCAGGCGTTCGACCAGCACGGCCAGGCCTTCGTGCATTGCCGCGATCGACACAAACGCTACGACCAGCACCGCCCCCAGAGCTGTGGCCCTCAACTGCACAGAACGCCACGTGTGGAGCAGGTGCCAGGTAAGAATCGTGCGAAACATCGCGTTTCCCGGGGGTGAACGACGAAGAGCGAGCCACCGGATCGGGGCCAATTCAACCATACGTCAGGGCATCGTCCAGCGATGGGGATGGCGGCCGCTCACGCGAGCGATTCGGCCCGATTTCACCGCGATTGCATCCATCGCCGCAAGCGGCCAAACGCAGGCCGTTTGACACCCACCGCCGATCGGCTACAAGTGAGGCCCTACCGGGGGCGAGGCTCTCCGGAGATACTTTGATCGCACCAACCGACTACCATCCTTCGGCGTTTTACGACCAAAGAGAGAGGCTCCACATCCATGAGTGAATTCGACTACCGGGGGCCAGTGAAGCTGGTCGTGTTCGATTGGGCCGGCACCACGGTCGACTTCGGCTGCTTCGCACCGGTGGCCCCGTTCATCCAGGTCTACGCCGATTCGGGAATCGAAGTCACCATGGAACAGGCCCGCGGCCCGATGGGCATGCATAAGAAAGACCACATTCGCGTGCTAGGCCAACTCCCTGAGGTCGGCCAGCAGTGGCAACTCATTCACAATCGACCCTTTGTCGAAGACGACGTCGACGAGTTGTACCAGCGTCTGCTACAACCCGAGGTCACCCAGGCCATCGCCGAAGCAAGTGGGCTGATCCCCGGCATGATCGAAGCGGCCAAGCGTCTGCGGAAACGCGGGGTGAAGATCGGCGCCACGACCGGCTACTTCCGCGATGCGGCGAAAGGCGTAGTCGACCGCGCAGCCCGCAAAGGATACGCCCCCGATATCAGCCTCTGTGTCGACGATGTCCCCACCGGGCGTCCCGCCCCCTGGGCGATGTTCGCCATCATGCGTGAACTCGATGTCTATCCGCCCTCGGCCGTGGTGAAGGTGGGCGACACCGTGCCGGACATCGGCGAAGGACGCAACGCCGGAGCCTGGACCGTCGGCATCACCCGCACGGGCAACGACGTTGGCCTCACCCAAGAGCAACTCGCCAGCCTCAGCGACGCCGAACGGAAGCAACGCATCGACGCGGCAGGCAAGAACCTTCTCGCTGCCGGCGCCCATTGGGTGCTGGAAACAGCGGCCGACATTCCGGAGCTACTGCCCGAGATCGAAAAACGCATTGCCGACGGTGAGAAACCGTAACCACAAAGCCCTCCGTCGAATCGGCCAGCTCACCGACTTGCGGCTTACATCTACAAGGAGACACCGGTGGATCCCGAGATTCCCTACCTGTTGCTAACCCCGGGGCCGTTGACCACCTCGCGAACTGTGAAGGAAGTCATGCTCAGCGACTTCTGCACCTGGGACAACGACTACAACGACATCGTGACCGACATTCGCCAGCGTCTGGTGAAGCTCGCCACGGCCAGCGACGACTACACCTCGGTGCTCATGCAGGGCAGTGGTACGTTCAGCGTCGAGGCCACCATCGGTTCGGTCATCCCGCCCGCTGGCAAGATTCTGATTGTCAACAACGGGGCCTACGGTAACCGGATGGTGCAAATCGCCCGCCGGTTGAACATCGACTGTGTAGAACTGAAGCTGCCGGAAGTCCGTCCCGCCGACATCGAAAAAATCGCCACAGCCCTGGCAGCCGACAATTCGATCACCCACGTGGGCATGGTCCACTGCGAAACCAGCACCGGCATGCTCAACCCCGCCGAGGAAGTCGGCAAACTCACCCGCGAACATGGACGGGTCTACATACTCGACGCGATGAGCTCCTTCGGCGGTATCCCCATGACTATGGAGAGCACGGGAGCCGACTTCCTGGTCTCCAGCGCCAATAAATGCATTCAAGGCGTTCCCGGCTTCGGGTTCGTCATCGGCAAGCGGTCGCTGCTGGAAGACTCCAAGGGTTGGGCTCGTTCGTTGAGCCTCGACCTGTACGACCAGTGGTGGGAAATGGAAAGCAAACACGGCAAGTGGCGATACACCTCACCAACGCACGTCGTGAGAGCCTTCGCTCGGGCTCTCGACGAACTCGATAGCGAAGGCGGCGTGGCCGTCCGCTACGAACGCTACCGAGAAAACCACCGCCGCCTGGTCGCCGGCTACGAGCAGCTCGGGTTCCGCCCCTTATTGCCTGCCGAATGGCGTTCGCCGATCATCACCTCGTTCCTGTATCCCGAAGACCCCAGCTTCACGTTCGACACGTTCTACGCCGCGATGAAGAAGAGACGCTTCGTTCTCTACCCGGGCAAAGTGAGCGATGCCGACACCTTCCGCGTAGGCACCATCGGGCATGTCTACCCAGAGGATATCGACGAACTGGTCGCCGCAACCGCCGCAGCAGTGGAAGAGCTGAACCTGAAAATCGCCGCGGCTTAAGTATCTGCGACGCTTTCGCTGCCCCCAAAACGCAACAGTGCGAGACATTCGCATCCGGTTTCCCCGCGAGATATGATGTCGGAAAAGCAAATCCGTCATCTCACACACTCCCGCACGAGCGATTCACCATGCCGCGTCTTTGTGTCGTTCTATTTGTCGTCCTCCTGGGGCTAAACAATCTGGCGAAGGCGGCCGATCGGCCGAACGTGCTGTTTCTGTTCACCGACGATCAACGGGCCGACACCATCCACGCCCTCGGCAACGATCTAATTCACACTCCCAACCTCGATCGGCTGGTAAATGACGGGCTGGTGTTTCACAACGCCTACTGCATGGGCAGCACATCCGGCGCCGTGTGTCAGCCCAGCCGGCACATGATGCACAGCGGGATGTCGCTGTTTCGCTACGAGACGAACAAACGGGAAGGCACGTTCGGCGATGTGATGCGAAAGGCCGGCTACGAGACCTACCACCAGTCGAAAACCGGCAACACACCCCACAACTATCACAAGGCGTTCGAGCACTCGAGCTATCTAAATGACGAGAAGGAACGCACCTCGGGCCACCACGGACGCACCGCCACGAACGACGCCATCACGTTCCTCAAAGACACCTGGGACAAAGAGCGTCCGTTCTTTATGTACATCGGTTTCGCCGGCCCTCACGATCCCCGCGTAGCGGCCGATGAGTGGCTCGACCTTTATAAACGAGACGAAATCCCGTTGCCGAATAACTACGCGGCCCTGCATCCGTTCAACAACGGCGAACTACTTGTCCGCGACGAACGCCTGGCCCCCTGGCCGCGCACTGAGGACGTAGTTCGCAAGCACTTGCACGATTACTACGGCTGCATCTCGTCCATCGACTACAACATCGGCCGCATCTTCACCACGCTGGAGGAGTTGGGCCAGTTCGACAACACGATCATCGTGTTCTCTTCCGACCACGGCTTAGCGGTCGGCAGCCACGGACTGTTCGGAAAGCAAAGCCTGTACGAACACAGCATGAACTCACCTCTGATCTTCGCCGGGCCGGGCATCCCTCACGGCGAGAGCGAAGCTATGGGTTACCTGATGGACATCTTCCCCACCGTGGTCGATCTCGTGGGCGAGACGCCGGCGAGCGACCTGGACGGAAAGAGCCTGGCCCCCGTGATCCGCGGTGAAGCCATCCAAGGTCGCGATACGATCTTCCTTGCCTACAAGGATGTGCAACGGGCTGTACGCAAAGGCCCCTGGAAGCTGCTTCGCTACCCGAAGGTCGACGTGACCCAATTGTTCAACCTCGACAGCGATCCCCACGAGATGAACGACTTGGCCGACGACCCAGCCTACTCCGATAAGGTTTCAGAGATGATGGCCCTGCTCAAGGAACAGCAAGAAGTATTCGACGACCCCCACCCGCTGGCGGTCGCCAATCCTGCAAAGTCTGAAGTCGATCAGGCCTACTTCAACAACGCCCCCGAGGTGCAACCGCGCAAGAAAAAGAAGAAGTAAGCCGCCGACCGTCGGCTCACGCCCGGGCGACATCAATCAACTGCATGAAGCAGCGGTGGTGTTCGTCCACGGCCAGATCGTCTTCGAAAAGGGTTCCACTGGGCCACATGATTTCCGACTCAACCTGGTTGCGATACTCGGAATCGCTGGCCAGCTTCACAGCAAGCCGGGCATAATTTTCAGCATCGCTTGCCACGCACTCGGGGTAATTCATCCGTCGATAGCAGCCCAGGGTGAATCGCCCGCGTTGGAATTGTCCCGGCAGCGTCACCACCGCTTTGCCTAACGAAAGCGCATCGTACGTGGTGTTCACCCCACCAAAATGCAACGGGTCGAGCAGCACATCGGACGATAGTATCAGGCTCGCGTAATCGTCACCTCGCAGGGAGTGGACAAAGATGATTCGCGATTCCACATCCGGAATCGTCGTTTGCCATCGCTGGCGGAGCAGGGCGGCCACGCGTGCGGAACGCCCCTCGGTCACGGCCACGACACCTTGCGGATCCTGCCGCAGTATGCCGGCCAGCAGGGGATCGAAGTCGGGATGAAACTTGCCCAACTGCTGAGGGCACAGATAGATGTGTTTCTCTTCTGGCAGCCCCAGGGCTTCTCGCGGCTTGTAAACCGCAGGGCGAGGCAGTCGCGCCTGGTAGCTCGGCATCCCCTTCATCAGCAGCAGCTTCTCGCTGTAGTGTTCGGCCGCATCCTCCGGATCGACCAACTCGCTGCTGAGGTAATAGTCCATCGCCGGTATACCGCTGGTGACTTGAATTCCCCACGAGGTGCACTGCACGGGGGCCAGACGTATGAACGGCAGAAAGTAATTCACCGCGTCGGTGCCGACTTCCCAGTAGTACAACACGTCATACGCCCGGGCAGCAATCGCCCGGGCCGCCGACTCGATGTCGGAAGGAATGACCGTAACGGTCACATTCTTGCGATTGATTCCAGCCTGAATCTGCGGGGCGCCGTCTCCATGGCAGACGACCTCCAAGTCGTACTCCACATTGGGCAACCGCTCGATCACGCCAGCCATCGAACGCAAGAATGCTCGCTCATGTGTGGCTGTCACCACCAGTCCCACACGTGGCTTCTCCAACCGCGCCGGCAAATCGAACGTTGGGAACTTTCCCAGGAACACCCTTGCGTACGCTTCGCGCAATTCGCGATCGTTGCGACCGTGAAACTGCAGATTAAGCGGCGGCTCGCCCCCCACCCGGCGAATCCGCTCCAGCGGCAGTTCCAGAGGTTCGTCGCGTAAAGTAGCAAGACGCTCGAGCAAGCCCTTGCGGAACGAATCGATTGCTTCGTTGTCCGCAAACACCATCGGGCACAAGGTTTCTGCCTGCAGCCGGCGGAGCAGACTCTGCGGCTCAAGATCAGCAGCGCGTTTGTAAGCTTCGGCCGCCTCGTCATATCGCCCGTCTTCACGACACGCGTTTCCGAGCGACGTGAGCGTCTCTGGCGCATTCGGTTGAATAGCTAGCGACTGACGGAAGCAATCAATCGCCTCATCGGTCCGGCCCAGGTCGCGAAGTGTGTTAGCCAGATTGGTATACCCGTTGGCGAACTGGGGATGCCACGAGATGGCCGTGCGATAGCAGGTTTCGGCTTCGCTGAGTCGACCTAAAGAACGTAGTGTGCTGCCCAACCCGTTGCAGGCATCGACGTAACCCGGCTTGAGTTGCATGGCCTGCTGGAAATAGCCGATCGCTTCGTCCAGACGCCCGAGCTTCCGCAGAGCATGCCCCAGGTTGCTATAAGCATCGGCGAACCCCGGCTGAAGACGGATCGCCTCGCGGTAAGCCGCCACAGCCTCTTCCAAACGGCCCAACTGCTGAAAGGCGTTGCCCAGGTTGCTGCGGTACTCCGGCTGGTTGGGCTGCAGGGCAATCGCGCGACCCATCAACTTCACCGCTTCGGCATTGTCACCCTGCTGGCAAGCCACCACGCCCAACAAGTGCAACGTGTCAGGCTGACTGCCGTCCAGTTCAAGCGCCTGTTGATAACACGCCCGCGCCTGGTCAAGCCTCCCCGCCTGATGATGGGCAAGTCCTTCGTTGAGCAACTGAGCGGCGGAAGACATGAAGTAATGAGATTTCGAGAGAAGCTGGACTAGTTGGGGTGGCCCCGCTTCTTGAAGCGGGGTCGCCGCAGGCGACAAGAGGCCATCCAATGCCTAATCGCACTCTGAAGATTGAACGTTCATCATCACCTCTTACGGCAGTGCCACCCAGATTCAAGAACCTGGACCACCCTGAGAACACGATCGCAGGTAAACTACACCCCGCTACCCGCCCGCTGGGCGATCATCGCGTCCAGTTCGCTCTTGAGCTTGCCGAGAATCTCATCGTAGGGGAACGCCCCCAAGGCTTCGCCGCCACGTTTGAGATTCACATAGTTGGGGCCACACCACAGCCCGAGGTCGGCATCGTCCGTTTCGCCAGGGCCATTCACGCGGCAGCCCATCACAGCGATGGTCAACGCATGTTCCTTGGCATACTGCGTCATCTGCTGCACTTGCTGGGCCAGCTCGACAAACGCCTCGTTTTCCACCCGCGAGCAACTGGGGCAACTGATGATGTTCAGCGTGCTCAGACCATAATCGACCACCGAACGCACCCGGCCTGCGGCGATGTCGGCCAGAATCTCCCGCCCCGCGGCAATCTCCTTCGGCTTCTCTGCATTGGGCACCGTGAGCGAAACGCGGATTGTGTCGCCAATCCCCCGGGCGACCAATTGCTCCATCGCAATCCTAGTCTTGATGATCCCATCGGGCGGCATGCCGGCTTCTGTCACGCCCAGGTGCAAGGGAACGTCGGGCCGCTCGTTCGCAAAGCGGGTGTTCACCTCGACGACCTTCTTGGGGTCGGAATCCTTCAGCGAGACCACATACCGCGTGAACCCAAGATCGTCGAGCAGCTCGCAGTGATCCAGCGCACTCTCCAGCATTGGCGAAATCGAGTCGTCGCGGTCGTACTTTTCTGCCATCGCCGGATCGACCGAACCGCAGTTCACGCCCACCCGCATCGCACAGTCGTGGGCCGTGGCCACTTCGACCAGGTATCGCACCTTATCCTGCCAGGGCTTGCTCTGCTCGTGGTGATAGAGGTGCCCCGGGTTGTAGCGAATCTTGTCGACGTGTGGGGCCACCACTTCGGCCAGGCGATAGTTCTCCTGCAAGTCGACCGAAAGATTGGCCGACGTTTGCTTGCGAATCTCTGCCAGGGCCTGCGCGTCCTTCTTACTGTCGACCGCCACCCGCACCACATCCGCACCGGCGTCTTGCAGCAGGTTGATCAACTCGACAGTGGCCGCAACGTCCTGTGTCTTGGTGGCCGTCATGCTTTGCACGGCAATCGGGTTATGGTCGCCCACCACAATCGAACCGATCGGCACCGCCCGGGTTGGATTTCGGGTTATTTCCACGCTTTGCAACTCCTAGAAAGACCACCTGTCCACGAACCCAGTTTAGCCATACGCAGGCGTCCTGCCCATTGTTCGTCGAAGCAGCGATTGCTTAAGCCTCACAAGGCTCTCTACTTACGCATCCTCCAACACCCGGGTTAGCGCTTCGACAAAGAAATATTCGCCCCACATCACCGACTCGTCCACACCGAGGTTCTTTTCCGTGTGATAAACCCCGTGCTGCAGGATACCCTCCCAGCCTTTGAGGTCTTGAGCCAGGTAATTCGGATGACACAACGCGTCGAGCATCCCCAGGGCAGTCTCGCGATACTTGGCGGCTTTCTCCTTATCAGACACCTGGCCGGCCAATTGCCACAGCCCGCTGGCTGCGATTGCCCCGGCCGAACTGTCTTTCTGCGGTCCCCAGGGCAGCGTGGCTCCCAGATCGGCGTCGAAGTCCCAATACGGCACATGATCGTGCGGCAGGTGTTTCAGCCAGAAGTCGGCATTTCGCTGTGAGACCTCGAGGAACTCTTCATTCTGGGTATACGCGTAGACCTTGCTATAGCCGTAAAGCGACCATGCCAGTCCCCGGGCCCAGCGGCTGTCGGGCCGTAGGCCCTGATGTGTGTCTTCGCGTATGAACTCACCCGTTTCGGTGTCGAAGATCCCCTCGTGCGCCGTCGAACCATCCTCCCGCACCAGGTAATCGCGAGTCGTGCGGCAGTGGCGTTCGGCGATTTCCTTGAGATTCTGATCTCCCGTCTCCTGCACCGCGTAAAACACCAGCGGCACATTCATCATGATGTCGATGAACAGCGAGTTGGGTGCCACGAAGCTGTGCAGGTAGCCCGGCGGATCGATGAACCGCTTGGCCAAGGTACGCCCGGCGTGGATCAACACCGCATGCAGGTCGGGGTCGGCCGTCAATTCGTACCAGGGAAGATACGTGTTGAGAAAGATAAAACCTAGGTCATGTACGTTGCGGTCGTGCTGGCGTGGCTCGAGCAATTTCGAATAGTGCTCGGCCCGCTTCCTCCAGGTTTTGTCCCCCGTGCGGCGATGGAACTGCCACATCATCCCGGCGAAGAACCCTCCGGTCCAATCGGTCCACAGTTCTCCCTCGTGATGCCAGTGGCCACCCTCGGTATAGATCGGGAACAAGTCGGGAGTTCGCTTGACGGTGGCTTCCACTTGCTGCTCGGCGAAGTGGAGTGCCTGCTTATAACGGGTTCGTTGCTGCGGAGTGATCAGTTCAGACATCGATTCGGCTCGGTCGCGGATACGAAAAGGTTCGAATTCGCCTTGCCCGAATGAATCATGGGCCATTCCTCGGCAATCGGCGAAGGGTTAGGTTATCAGACAATCTAAATGACGCTTCCTACCGTCCGACGCATCGTAATGCTCCACGCCCATGGGGTGAAGTGCCGCCGATGCAAAGCCACTGATTGCCACAAGCACCTATGTACGATCCGCTGTTCCACGTCGTGCTGCATCAGCCGGAGATTCCCTACAATACCGGCAGCGTCGGCCGAACCTGTGTGGCGGTGGGGGCGAAGTTGTGGCTGGTCCGTCCCCTGGGATTTCGCGTCGACGACTACCACCTCCGCCGCGCCGGCATGGACTACTGGCAACACCTGGTGTGGGAAGCAGTCGACGATTGGGCCTCGCTGTTAGAAAAGCTTCCCACGAACAGCACCCGCTGGCTGTTCACGAAAACCGCTACCAGCGATTACCGCGAAGCGAAGTACAGCTCGGGCGACGTACTCGTTTTCGGCTGCGAGTCGCAAGGTTTACCTCGCGAGTTGCTCGCCGAACATCCCGAACAGTGCCTCCGCATCCCCATGCGAGAGGAAGCCCGCAGCCTAAACCTTTCCAATTCGGTAGCCGTGGCCTTGTACGAAGCAGGTCGCCAAGTCGACTGGCCGTAGCATTCTGAATGTATGCCCGCCTTGCTGGACCTTCGGCTTAGGCAATGTTACGTTTACGGCCCGGTTTTGATGGCTTCTAAACGTTTTGCGCCGCCACCAAGTTCCCCGATAAATCCCCATCGAATAAGAACCAACCTCATGCCCACGATAGCTTCTGCCGACTTGTTGGATTTCGCCACTCGCCTGTTAGCTGCCAGCGAGGTACCCCAGGAAGAAGCCGCGGTGGTCGCCGAAAGCCTGGTGGGGGCCAACCTCCGGGGGCACGACTCGCACGGGGTGATGCGAATCCCGTTCTACCTCGACGGCTTGAAGAAAGGCGAAACCACCGCAGCCGCCGAACTCACCATCACCAAGCAAACTGAAACCACGATCGTGGCCGACGGCAATTGGGGCTTCGGGCAAACACTGATGCACGACCTCACTGGCCGGTTGATCGCAATGGCCAAGGAACACGGCACCGGCGTTGGGACACTGATTCACTCCTCGCATGTGGGGCGGTTAGGCGAGTATTGCGAACGGGCGGCCGAGGCTGGTCTGGTCTCGATGATGATGGTCAACACTCACGGTTCGACCCGACGTGTCGCACCTCCCGGCGGGAAAGCTCCTCGACTGGGCACCAACCCCATCGCGTTTGGGGTACCCGCTGATGATGGTCCTCTGATCGTCGACTTCGGCACCTGCGCTACGGCCGAAGGCAAAGTTCGTGTGAAACGCATCGGCGGCGAACTCTGCCCCGACGGGTGGCTGCTCGATTCCGAAGGCAAACCCACCAACGACCCGCACAGCTTGTATGGCGACCCGCCCGGTACGATTCTCCCCATGGGCGGCAATCAAGCCTACAAAGGTTTCGGCCTGGCGATGATGGTCGAGATCTTCTCCGGGGCACTTTCCGGCGGTATTTGCGCCCGCGAGGTGCCAGTGAACCAGTTGGGCAACTGTGTTTTCATGATGGTGATCGATCCCGATCATCTCGGAGGGGCACAACATTTCGCCGATCAGGTCGCCTCGCTGGTTGGATTCGTTCGCGGCTGCCCCAAAATCGAGGGTGTCGAGGAAATCCTCCTCCCCGGCGATCCCGAACGCCGGGTGCTCGAGCAACGGACCGCTAATGGAGTTCCTTTCGACGACGGAAACTGGCAGCAGTTGGTCGATTTGGCCGCCAAACTGGGTGTCGAACCACCAGTCTCGAAGTAGCCTCCTCGACTTTTCCACAGCTTTGTCAATCCAGCAAAGTCTTTGCATGCGCCGATCTGGCGCTTCACAATGTGAGGCACACCTTCGACAAAACGCTCCACGGCCTTGCAGGGGAGATCCAAGAATGCGATTCCGGTGGTCCACGAACGCGATGCGAGCAATCTTGCCGCTTATTTTGGTCACCCTTGCCAGCCCGGCCACGGCTGAAGACGCCCTGCCGCTAGTCGGCGGTGTTGAGTGGCAACCGCTCAAGGCCCAAGTTCAGCGCGTGGTGCAAACGCTCGACTACCTGGGTGCCCCTCTCACGGAAGAGCAACAGCAAGCATTCGACGCCGCGTCGGAAATGACCGACGGCGCCGAAGCATCTCGGGCCGTTCAGCGAGTGCTCGATCCCTTGTGCCTGGCGGCCGTGAATATCAACCCGGAGAGTCGGGTGAAAGCCGCCCCGGGCCCAGCTCCCAAGGCTCTAGTGCAACAAGGTTGGACCGTCTTCCTCGTAAAGGTTCATAACGAAGCGGGAGTCACCGCCGCTTTGCAGTGCACCAGCCCCAATGCCGCTCCGCTGGTCAAGCCTTCAACCGCCGCCGCTGAACCCGAGGTGAGCATCAAACCCAGCGAAGTCGGAGATCGCTGGCTCGATGTGAGCATGTACGGAAAGCAGCCGCTGAACGAGAAACTCTCCGGGCTCGAACTCGAATACCGAGTGATCGAACTCTATAGCCGCGACGTCGGCCGACGTGAGGCGAAGCTGGTGTTCGATGCCGGACAGGGTACCCAAGACCTCGGGTTCCGCAGCGAGTTGAATCTGCTGTTCCAGTGCGAACCTGCCGTCGAAGTGGTGTTAGAAGTTCTTGATGACGACGGACAACCTACCACCGGGCAGTTTGTGTTTCGCGACGAGCACAATCGGGTCTACCCCTCGATGGCGCGACGATTGGCGCCAGACTTTTTCTTCCATGAACAGATCTACCGCCACAGTGGCGAGTCGGTGATGCTGCCTCCGGGGAAGTACGAAGTTACATTCACCCGAGGGCCGGAATACCGTATTGAGAAGCGCACGATTGAAGTTCCCGATTCGGTTTCACACCGCGAGAAATTCCAACTCCAGCGTTGGATCAAGCTGACCGACGCCGGATGGTACTCAGGCGACCATCACGTGCACGCGGCCGGTTGCAAGCATTACGAGTCGCCGACCGAAGGCGTGCAGCCCGTCGACATGATGCGGCACATCCTGGGTGAAGACCTCAACGTCGGCTGCGTTCTGTCGTGGGGCCCGTGCTGGTACTACCAAAAGCAATACTTTGAGGGCCGCGTGAACCGGCTCTCGACTGACCGCTACTTGATGCGGTACGACGTAGAAGTCTCCGGCTTCCCCAGTTCCCATGCGGGTCATCTTTGCCTGTTACGACTGACCGACGACGACTATCCAGGCACGATCCGAATTGAAGAGTGGCCCAGTTGGGACCTTCCAGTTTTGCGATGGGGAAAAGAGCAGGGCGGGGTGGTCGGTTTCTCACACAGTGGGTGGGGACTGAAGGTTGATGCCACGGAGTTACCCACGTTCGATATGCCGCCGTTTGATGGAATCGGGGCCAACGAATACATCGTCGACGTCACCCATGGCGTCTGCGATTTCATCTCCGCAGTCGATACTCCTTTCGTCTGGGAACTCAACATTTGGTATCACACCCTGAATTGTGGATACACGGCCCGCATCTCCGGCGAGACCGACTTCCCCTGCATCTACGGCGAACGCGTCGGGCTGGGCCGCGCGTATGTAAAGCTCGATGACGACGAACCGTTGAACTACGACAATTGGGTCCGCGGCATCCGCGATGGCCGCAGCTACTGCACCGACGGACTTTGCCATCTGTACGACTTCACCGTCGATGGGCTAGGTGTCGGTGAGCCCGGAGCCGATGGCCAAGCGAGCGTACTCGCTGCGAGATCCGGCAAGCCACTCAAAATTCGCGTTCAAGCGGCCGCACTTTTGGCCGACGAGCCACGAGAAGACATCCGCAGCCGCCCCTTGGATCATCAACCATACTGGCATATCGAACGGGCCAGAATCGGCGACTCGAACAAAGTGCCGGTCGACCTGGTAATCAATGGCGAAACTGTCGCCACGCAAGAACTGGTAGCCGACGGCCAGGTTCGAGAACTGGAATTCGAAGTCACTCCCGAGCAATCAAGCTGGATCGCCCTCCGGGTATTCCCCAGTTGCCACACAAATCCTGTGTTCGTCGAGTTAGACGGCAAGCCAATCCGTGCAAGCAAGCGCAGCGCCCAGTGGTGCCTCGATGCGGTGGATGTTTGCTGGAAAGAGAAGAGCCCAAAGATTCGCGAAAGCGAGCTGCCCGCTGCGGAAGCCGCCTACGAATCGGCCCGCAAGGCGTATCGCAAGATCCTGGACGAGTCGCAAGCCGACTGAGCGGACGATTGGCGCCACCGCTTAAGGGGTGGCCTTCAAACGTTCCCTAATTCGCTTTAGGTTTTCTTGCGCGGTCTCTAGTTGGGGAGCCAGACGCAGTGCGATCTCGTATTCACCGAGGGCCATTTCGTATTCGCCCATTTGCTCCAGAATTACTCCCAGTTTGTCGTGAGCCTCAGCGTTTCGCCCATCGGTGCTAACTGCGTCTTGAAAATGATAGTATGCATCTTCGAGACGACCTTGCTTTAGGCGTATGGCTCCCAGATTGAGGTGAGCACCAGCGATCGTTGGATCTAGCTCTATCGTCCGATTGAACGCACTGGCCGCAGATTCAAGGTTGCCCTGCTGCAGATATCCCACACCTAACCAAAAATAGGCATCCACGCCTTCGGGCCAGAGCTGAATTGCAGCCTCGGCGGCCTCGAGTGAATCAGCGGGTTCTCCTTCTAGCAACTTCTCCTCGGCTAATTGCGCCAATCGAGTTGCTCGAACACGAGGATCCTCTTCAGGCTGTCCGGTGGCGATGGAAACTCCAAAAAGCAGGGTCGCCACTACAAACGCCGTGGCGATTGGGCCGAGTCGCCCAAGGGATTGCGCTGAAGCAGCTCTAGCAGATGTAAAAGTTGTTTCAAACGCCAAGGCGAACATCACGATCCCCAGCACCACTGCAAAAGTCTCTGCTATGCGATCGACCCCCAAATACCAGAGGAGACTCGCACCCATCACAACACCCAACCGAGGACTTGCCAGGGGGATACCCAAACGGTCGGCTTTCTGTCTTACGGCTGGGATATAGGCGGAGATCAGTGAGCCACCACCGATATAGCCACAAAGCACCACAGCCAACACCGTTGCATCAAAGAATGAATTGCCTACACCAACCGCGGGGAGAATGAGCAATCTGGCTTGAGTTACAGCCGAGGTAGACGATGCCGATACCGCTTCATCAGCTACGATGAACTGCCCACCCCAGTGCGTCGATTCTCCCACGATTAGCCAAGCAAATGCAGACAATACGGCTAAAGCTAACCTTCGCCCCCTGAGGGTTTCAGCAGTCGCGTCTCTCGGTGGTGTCTGAAACACCCCGGCCAGGAAAACGACGCCAGCGGCTGCAAACAATGCAATCTCCAGGGATTGCCACCACCCGCCCTCGGCAAGTAACTCATATGCAATAGCCGTATGGTGCTGAGTAATGAGAGACAATGGCACAATCTGTACTGCCAGAATGACTGCGAACACCCCGGCATAAACGAACGTTCGACGGTCAACATTGCCACCGAATAAATCCTCAGACGACTTAGGAGGTCGGCCCAGGAACTTGATGTACTGATTGGCCGGATGTTCGATCAACTTGAACATCAACACGGCTAGCAAGGTCAATAGTAAAATCTGCCCGAGTCGGCTGTGGGTAATAAAGTCTTCAAGCCAGGTGCTCACCACACCGAAATGCAGCAAGTAAAAACAGTACGAGCTACGCCCCAGCAGTACCATCAAGGGGATACTCAAGAACCGCTTAACAACGCTAGCCTCGGTCATCATTCCCCAGAACCACATCATCACGAAGCCAGGGAAGACAAAGTAGCTAAGGAAATACCCCACGGGATGCTCGCTTCCACGAACCAGATCGCCCCCTGGGTGCCAGGCTTCGGCTTGCTCTGCCAAACGTGTCTGCACCAGCATGATGGCGAACATGAAAGCTAGAGCGGTATACGTGAGCACAGGTCGCTTGCGAATTGGTAATTGTCCCGAGCGGCCGCGGACGATCTTCCCGAGCAAGATTCCAAACCCGAAACAGCCGATCATTCCGCACAGGGTTCGCCCGAAGACATGCGATGCGTTTTGATAATAGGGGTTGAATGGAATGTCGACCGTGGCGAGAAAAATCCCGAAAGCAAAGATTCCCACGCAGGGGACGAGTAGTCCCCACCTCAAGGCAGCCAAAAAGATGAGCGGAGCCGAAAAATAAAACGTCTCTTCAATCGTCAATGTCCACGTTTGCGCAATCCCAGCGTGAACAAAATCAGGGAATAATGCCTGCGTAAGCGTGTAAGTTACCAGTGTTTCCGGAACACTGTCGGGAAATCCGAGCCATAGGTAAGTGATGGTGAGCAGAATGACGTAGACCGGATAGATTCGGGCAACGCGATTCTTTGCGTAGTCCAATCCCCACGGTAGCGTGATCCGCTCGAGTTTGTACCCATAGAGATAGTAGATGAGGAAGCCGCTGAGGACATAAAAGACCGGCACCCCGAGATGCATTTCCTGCCCAAGCCGATACAGCGTATTTCCCCACACGGCTGGGTCGATCAGGTTGAAGTGGCAGTTGTAAATCCCATACATCGCCACCGCTCGAATACCGGTCAGTTCGGGGAAGTAATTCTTACCGCCAGCGGACATCTGCATTCAGACCTGGGATTTAGGCGACTTCGTAGCAGCGAGGGTGGACGGCGGCGAAAAGTGTTTGGACCTGGAAAGCATTCTTTGAATCAGCCGCTATCACGAGGATAATCAGTTTGTCCGATGGGCCGTAGTACACCAACCCAGATTTTGTCCAGCGTTCGAATCAATCTGCCAAGACGACTCTGTTATCCCGACATTTCTCGAAAGGTACGGACGCTAATGATCCTGAACAACTCGCTCGCAATGTCCCCAAAGCTTGCCATCGCCACTGCCGCACTTGCGATTGCCCTTGGAACTACACCCGCCCCCGCCGATGAACCCTTCGCAGCCGCCCAGGGCTGGGTTGAATTAATCGGCCCAAACGGACTCGAACTCTGGCAAGCAGACTCCGGAGAGTGGAGTGTATGCGAAAACGTCGATCTGCTTGAATCGAATCCGCACCTACTTGTTCCCCAAGCAGGGCAGGGCACCCTGGTTAATGGCAAAGACGGCCGCACCGTCAATCTACTGAGCGACAAACACCACGGTGACGTTGAAGCTCACATCGAATTCCTGGTTTCCAAAGACTCGAACTCGGGAGTCTACTTCCAAGGCCGCTACGAAGTGCAGATCCTCGATAGTTGGGGAGTCGAAAACCCCGAGTCCAGCGATTGCGGCGGCATCTACAAGCGCTGGAAAGATGGCCGTGGGTTCGATGGCCACGCTCCCCGCGATAATGCCAGTCGCCCGCCGGGCCAGTGGCAAACGTTCGACGTCGTGTTTCGCGCACCACGCTTCGATGCCGACGGGCGAAAGATCGAAAATGCCCACTTCGAGAAAGTCATCCATAACGGCATCGTGGTTCACGAAAACGTTGAACTCACCGGCCCCACGCGATCCTCAGCATTCGACGATGAGAAACCCCAGGGCCCACTGATGCTCCAGGGAGACCACGGCCCCGTGGCCTACCGCAACATCCGCGTGAGACCACTTCAAGATCAGAGAGTAGAAGACACCCCTTAAACACTCACTGCTTTCGCACGATTGCGTACTTGACTAAAAAAAAGACAAAGGCCGGCCCCCGTGAGGGAAGGCCGGCCTTTGCAGCGCGAATTATCAGATTGTTCTGACCTTCGCGGTCAGGTAGATCTACGACTTATTTACGGCGACGACGTAGAACCGGAATCAAACCGACAATGGCGATGCCGAGGAGCACCACAGTGGAAGGTTCGGGCACCAGTTGATACATTCCCGTCGCCACCAAAGCACCACTGAGGTCGGCATCAACCTGAACGGGATCAGTGATAAGTTGGTCAGCAAAGGTGATCGGAGCGGAAACCGTGACATACACGTAACCATCGCTAACAACGGCGTTTTGTGTGATCATGCCGATTTGGCCGACCGGTCCGAGTTCCGCCTCGACTGGATCATCGGCGAAGTCAAGCGTACCCGATCCCAACAAGGCACTAAGACCACCCGTGCCCAGGTAAGTAAACAGACCTTCGTCGATGGAGAGTTCCGTCGGGGTTCCTCCACCTGGATCGAAAGTGTATTCCCAGGGATTCGTCGGATTTGTCGTAGTCGTCGGAATGTAACCGTTGGTGTTCAAGACATTGATACCAGCGCCCACCATTTCAGCCTGAATGCCACCGAAAATACCAGCATTGAGGTCAATCAACACGTCACCAATGGCGATGTCGGCACCCGTGAGGGCAAATCCAGTCGAATCATTGATGAGGTCCGCTTGGATTGCATCGTCGATCGATGCATCAATCGTTCCCGTGAACACAAACGGCACTGCAGCCGTGATGGCACCACTTAGGATGTCCAGATTGAGCGTGGCGCCCGAATCGGTAGTCAGTGTCAACTGAAAGTTTGCAGGAGCTGCCGTTGCTTTGCCGGTCGAAAATCCAAGAACCATGGCGGCTGCCAACAATACTGCAAGTTGCTTCTTCATGAATTATCTCCAGTTTGTGAACTGTTTTTAAGTCTTTTGATAAACTCTTTGTAACTCTTGCCTCTTCTCAACCTGCTCGTTGAGCAGATCCTATGTTTCTTACTCGCGCTGGCTATTAATCGGCCGTGATCTCTGCCGGCTCCCCTTTCTCGCCCCCCGCACTAACGAAGTCAGCCCCAACAAGCCCATGCCAAGAATCGCAAGCGACGATGGCTCAGGCACTGTTTGAATATGCTTGTCCTTGCTGATGATGAACGTTCTGCCGGGTGCCAGATTGAAGTCCCACTGGTAGGCCCAAGAAACGTCACCGGTGAGTGGTCCTCCAAAATCGTTCAAGGTAGTCGGAGAATCATCATCCAGGCTGTCAACCAAGTCTGGAAAAAATGCCACTTCGCTATGAGACGGTCTCGGAGCGACCACGGTCTCACTCACAATCAGATTGGGATCACTCTGACTGACTGAATTCGCATTGTTTGCTTGAATCGTGTCATCAAACTCGGACTCATTCAGATCAAAGTCGGAGTACTGAAAGAAGTGAAACTGCAAGGTCTGAGTTGGACTTGTATTAATGATCCGAATCTGCTCTGCGATGTCAGAGACACCGCTACCTGCAGTGCCTCCCTTCATGACATAAGTAATATCAATCGTGAAGCGGTCGTTTGGATCGGAGTACAGGATATATAGGCCGTTATCATTTGGCTCGAAGTTGCTCGAAAATGAGTTCGTGCCAACTAAGTCCAGGGTGTCGATCGGAGCTTCACCACCAGCAGGACCGATGCGATACCAAAACCACTGCCGGAACAGATGGTCGACACCATCCACAACCCAACTCAACGTCCCGCCTGGCTCGTCGATACCAGGATCTGGCTCGACGTCGGCGGTAGAGTTCCCATCGGTCAGCGTGATGATTGCGGCTGATGAAGTTTGAGGTAACAGGACCACACCGCATAGCAGCATAAGTCCAACAATTCGAGTGGCTGACTTCATGGGCAGTTCCTTCCTAGATTCCAAGTTTGCGTTCTGCGGATGATGTTTCATGGTTGCCTTCGCCTCACATTGAGTGAGCGACTACCTGACTGGTGTTTATTTCTTCAGGAGGTCTGCCGCCGGGGCGTGCTCGGGCAACTAGAAACTCAGACGGGGAATTCGGACCGTCGACAATGCGATGAGCGAACCATCACGCATTACACAGCGAGGGGAAGTGAACTGCCGCTCGGTAGAATGCCACCCATCGAGACCTTGGGGTCGCGTCGAGTTCGGGACTAGCCACAGTGAGGGCCGTTCATCCGAATCAAATACGTGGGGTGACACCAACCACACAGACAAGCAACGATTTCCCGATGCTGTGGTTGAGTTGTCCGAGAGCCGAAGGGGTCAAGAATCCTGCTAGTGATCTTTAAGACTCAAAAGTCAAAACGACCGGTGCGTTGGGCCCGGGCTCTCGACTCAAGGTCACTAGCAATCCCCAAAGAAGTTAAAGGTTAATCAAACCGCGGCTAGGTAGGGGGCTCGGAGAATTCCCACCTGCCACATGATGTAGAATGCACAAACCTGAACGAAATGTCAAGAATTCTTTTCAAAAATTGGCAGATAACCCGAGTTACAGCCCAATGCGATACCCTCTGGAGAGGCAATTACCGCCACAAACCCATGCCTTGAAAGCAGTTATAGCACAAAGCATTTAGCGCCAGTATCTCGCCCTTTCACCACAGCGTTTCGCCAGATTTACTAGCCAAGCCAATTCAGACATCAAAGAAACGGCTAGATTCCAACCCTCAATCCCGCATTCGATGGAGATTCCGACAACGCATTTAACTCTGTAGAGTCCAAGGATAAGTCGGTGGGACGGAGCATTGCTCTTCACATCTACTCGGCACCTAATGGTTCTCTTGACTTGAACGAACCAGTTCCGCTTTCGTGGGTAGTCGAAAAGAGTCTCCTATGTTCCGCGAAAGGCAAAGAACGAAGGACCAACCAAAATTCTCGCACGTTTGTGCGTGAAACGCTCACCTCCCCTCGACAAGCAGACGAAATGTGTTAATTATAGAAGAACACTGACGCGGGGTGGAGCAGCCCGGTAGCTCGCGAGGCTCATAACCTCGAGGTCGCAGGTTCGAATCCTGTCCCCGCCATTTTTTCTAAGTCCCGCTGAATCAGCGCGTTACGATACCGGCCAGCGGTTGGCCGGGCGGCTTGCTAGAGCGCAAAAAGGGTAGCCAAACGAGGTACGCCTCGGGGGTCTACCCTGTTTGGCTCCGAAATAGCGAGTTCCGCCGTGCCCAAACTCATCAACCGCCCGCCCAAATATCGTCTTCACAAGAGCACCGGCCAAGCCGTCATTTCGGTCCACGGCCGCGTTATTCAGCTCGGTCCTTTCGGCTCCAAAAGGAGCCACGCGAGGTACCAGGAGGAGGTCGCCAACTGGCGAAACGTCCGCCAAAAACAGGAGGTCGAAGAGGACGCCGAGCCGGAGCCCGAAGTCACGCTCAAGGAGCTACAGGCCCACCGCCTCCGCGGCTATCCGGTCACGATCGACGAACTGGCCCTCTCCTACCTCGACTTCGCCCGCGGGTACTACAAAAAGAACGGCCGTGTGACCCGCGAAGCGGAGATTATCGGCGACATGCTCCGAATCTTGGTCCGCCACCACAGCGGCGAAGCCGCCGAAGAGTTCGGGCCGGTGAAGCTCAAGGAGCTCCGGGAACGGATGATCGAAGAAGTTGATTGGTGCCGCAAACACATCAACAAGCAGGTCTCGCGGCTGAATCGGATGTTCAAGTGGGCGGTTGCCAACGAGCTGATCGGGCCGAGTGTCTATCAAGCGCTCACGACCGTCGCAGGCTTGAAACGGGGTCGCACCGAAGCGAGGGAGACTGGGCCCGTGTTGCCAGTTGAGGACACCGTCGTCGATGAGACGCTTCCCCACCTACCGCAGATCGTCGCGGATATGGTCCGCTTGCAGCGGCTCACCGGAGCGCGTCCAGGTGAGATATGTACGCTGCGGCCGTGCGACCTCGATCGGTCCGGTGAAGTCTGGGTTTACGAACCAGGCGAGCACAAGACGGAACATCACGGCACGCGTCGGCTAGTGATGGTCGGGCCCAAGGCTCAAAAGCTGCTAGCGCTCTATCTCGATCGTCATCCGATGTGCCCCTGCTTCCTGGGTGATGAGACCGTCTGGCTTTCTCGCAGACGTGGTAAAGAAGCCGATAAGCCGCTCAACCCCGTACTGTTGCGGCGGGCCCACCGTTTTGCCATCAAGCGCGGCAGGCTCGAACCTTACAACGTCAACGCTTACCGCATTGCCATTCACCGCGCCTGCGAAAAGGCAGGGCACGCGAAGTGGTCCCCCAATCAGCTCCGGCACACGGCCGCAACGGAGGTCCGCAAGAAGTTTGGGCTCGAAGCGGCTCAGGTGATTTGCGGCCATCAGTCGGCCGATGTCACGCAGATTTACGCGGAGCGAGACGTGAGCTTGGCGAAGGAAGTGGCCCGATCGGTCGGTTGATCGCGTGCAACAAAGCCGCCGAATCGAACAAGCCGCTTGACTCTCGCCGGTTGCTTGCGCTACCCCTTCTAGATCATCAACGAATCAAGGGGATTAACTCAATGAGCAATAACAGCAATAGACCAGTCCAAGAGGTACGCGACGGCGGGCTGAGGATCGCCATCTTCCGCAACGAGCCCAAGCAAGAGGGGGACCGCCCTCGCTTTTCGGGCAAACTGACTCGGAGCTATAGCGATGCCCAAGGGGAATGGCGCGAAACCGAGTACCTGTCGGGGACCGAGTTCCTTCGCGCGGCGCGACTCATGGAAAAGGCCTACGACGCCGAGCTTTCACAGAAAGCGACGGATAAGAACGAACCGCCCGAACCGACCGTGTAGAGATCTCAGGGGCTGGACGCTGTCATTGCGGCAGCGGCCTTGCTTGAGTCGATCAGTTGGCGGTGGATACCACCTCAGCGTCGAAGGCCCTTTGTCTCTCCGCTGAGAGCGATGTAGCCGCCTATAGATTGGGAGCGTTCGACTTGGCGTTGGAGTGTCGGGCCGGCGCACACTCGGAGCGATTCTCAATCGTCGTAATCCTCGGGTTCGTCCAAGGCGGTCAGTTCATCGACCGTCATACTGGTTCGAGTGATCTGTGCGTCAATCGATCGGGTGAAGGATTGCGGTTGTGACAAGTTGGCAGCATATAGGTGGCCCTGAATTTTCACTTCCCCCGAGTCGATAACCGCCAAGTGAAACTCATCCGTCCAAACCTTCCTGCCCGGTTGGAGGTTGCCGCAGTCGATCTCCACCTTTGTCTCGTGGTCAGTTTTCTCGATGTCCAAAGCACCAATTCGTTGAAACGCCGGGCGAATGTGCAAGTCCTCCATCGTTACCTTGTCCAAAACGCTCTCTCGTCTCTTCGGAGCATCGGGGATGTCAGACCATCGGAGAATGCCGTAGCCAGAGCCGTTGGGCACGCAGATTTCAAGACGGACATCATTGGCCGGTGTGTTCCCCGTGTTTGTGACCACGAAACGGCTCTTCCTGACGAGCCGACTGGTAAAGACGTAGTTGGCAAGCTCGTGATAGTAATGCGGATTCAGCCGGTCGTGCATTCCGATGCGGCTCAGGTCGGGCATGTAAATGGTTTGACCGCCCGGCAGACGGATCGGCCCTGAAGAACGCTCTGAGAGTTTGGGAATCTCCTTCGCCGAAGGGACTTCGCAAAACTCAGCAGTCCATTCAATCTGCTCACCCAGCGCTCTCTCACGATCCAAATCAGCAAACTCGACCGCCAACGATGCCTCCTTAGTGTCGACATTCTGTTCGCTGCCCATGTGAGCGATTTCATCAGGATCAGCAGGTTTGGATGGATCGGTCGAACTGCCTCGGCGAACGTAAACCTCGCCTTTCTTCAGTCTTTGGCCTTCCCCCTTTGAGTCGTACCATTTGAACTGAGAGAATCGTAGACTGGGCGAAGCCCGGGGAGGATTCTTTCAGATGAAGCGAACAAGGCATACGACTGAGCAGATCATTGAGAAGTTGCGTCTAGCAGACGTTTCCCTTGGTAAGGGCCAGAAGGTCCCGGAGATCTGCAAGACGCTTGGGATTACCGAGCAGACCTATTACCGCTGGCGGCAGAAATACGGTGGAATGGCTCCGGAGATGGTCAAGCAACTACGGGCTCTTGAGAAAGAAAACGCCCGGCTGAAGAAGCTGGTGGCTGAGCAGGCTCTGGACATGGAGATTCTCAAGTAAGCCTCCAAGGGAAACTGGCGAGCCCCGAGCGGCGGAGGCAAACCGTCATCAAGGTAAGTCGTCGTTTGGGGCCCGAGAAGGTCTCGGAACGCCGGGCTTGCCGGGTATTGGGCCAATCGCGATCGACTCAGCGACACGTGAGGCGTCGTCCGTCTGATGAAGCGAAGCTGTTGGCCGAGATGCGGAGGATCGCGACCCGGCGTCCCCGTTTCGGCAGTCCGCGAATTCACGATGCGCTGACCAAGCGTGGCTGGAAGATCAACCACAAGCGTGTAGAGCGTCTTTGGCGGGAGAAAGGCATGCAGGTGCCCAGAAAACAGCATAAACGGCGTCGACTCGCGTGTGGTGGCAGTGAGAACAGCTGCGTGCGAAAGCGTCCACTGAGACCCAATCATGTATGGAGCTACGACTTTGTCGAAGACCGTACCGAGAAGAACCGCAAGCTACGGATGCTGGTGGTGATCGATGAATTCACCCGCGAGAGCCTGGCGATCGAAGTAGCTTGGTCTCTTAAGTCGCAGCAGGTGATTGAGGTGCTTCAGTACCTGTTCGCCGTGCGTGGTGCTCCCGAGAACTTGAGAAGCGACAACGGCCCGGAGTTCGTAGCCCGAGCCGTGACACGTTGGCTGCATCAAGCCCACGTGAAGACATTGTTTATTGCTAAAGGCAGTCCCTGGGAGAACGGCTACGTGGAGAGCTTCAACAGTCGGTTTAGGGATGAGCTGTTGGACCGCGAGCTATTCGTTAGCCTTGAAGATGCCCGCTGGGTTGTCGACCGCTGGCGGCTCGATTACAACCACCATCGACCACACAGTTCGTTGGATTACCAGCCCCCTGCAACATTTGCTGCCCGCTGCTGTTCTTCCGTTCGGCCTACGGCCTCACTCCAGAACAGCAGCCACCACTTAACCCCAGATTCTCTCATTCAAAGTGGACGAAGAAGGGGGTAAGGCCACAGCCAGTCGTTCAATCGGGCCGAACAGCAAGACGAATGAATCAGATCGCTCCCCTTCTGGAAGCTGGGCGTCAACTCTGCGGACGAGGGAGCCATGTTGACAATGGTGCGCGATTCAGGTGAAGCCCCGTCCATCACACAGAAGATCGCGTCGGAGGATTTTCTGCTCGAAAGTATCGACATCTGGCCGGGCTTCAACCGCCAGCAATGGACGTTCTATCTATCCAGCGAGCACTGCCCCCTAGTTCCAAGACTGAGCGGAGACTCGATTGGCACATGGCAATTGAGCAACGAATGCCAAATCCCATTTCGATAACACCACTTCTGCAATACCCCCCACCGGAGACTCATGCGAGAGATAATCGCTAACTAAATGATGATTGTTCGCTAGTGTAACAGACACGCGCCGTGTCATCGCAGCGCATTGGTCCCCACGTTACCTGTGATTCGTCGCATCGGCACTCAGCCAGAGCGTTGAAACAGGTCTGTCGATTCCAGGTCTACCGGCCTGATGAAGTTCGCATCGGAATGAACTCTCAACGGCGTACCGTTGGTGGTAGGTTTCGTGGATCTCCGCCGCGGGATAATAGCCGCCGGCTCATCTAAGGCGGCTTGCAATTGGGCCGTACGGCCCTCAACGCGGACTACTTCCCTGATTAGACTATCCAGCGTTAACTGCAACTCTTGCATGGTGGCCTGGTTTTTTTCGACAAGCGTGTCGAGCTTGCCCTGCATCTCAGCAAAAGGTGCGTGCATTAGCTCCGCATGGGAGCGGTGTTGACATTCCCGAATGTCGCGAAGCCGATGAACGATTTGGTGGCTCATAGCCACTAGAGAGTCCAACGATGATTCCTGCTTATCACTTTCCATACGTACCAGATTATGGATCGCCTGCAGGACTTGAGTATCGCGGCGCTCGAGCACGGGGTTTACAAAAAACAGCAAACACTTTCCGAATGGCCTAACCAGAGAGCGTACTATGCGTCTCAATTGGCTTTCCGTGTTATTCATCAGTCTATCCCCGGTGATTCTTGAAACGCCAACTCACGCACATCATTTGAGACTGCAGATTTGTACACACGAGTTGACCTTCCATTTACTCTTACTCTTCCTGATGAACCACTATGCGGCATCTGATGCAGAGAAAGCACGTATGCCACGCCTCTGTCGCTGGCGACGCTCTCTAGCAGAATCATCAATCAACAATGCGTACTGCTCAGCCACACTTGCCCAATCATGATGCCGTTTAACGTAATCCAGGGCCCGTTGACCGAGTTCATTCCGTTGCCGGATATCCACAGCTAGACTTCGCATCGCGCGAACGAGTTGCCGTTGTCCAAATGCATCCCAACCAATGCGAGAAACAACGTCTCTGGGAAATGAAGCGAATGTATCGACTTCATTCACAATCGTCGGAGTGCCAGATCCTAGGAGCAAGAGTAACGATCCGGAAGTCTCACCATTTGTTGGTGGTCGCCGCAGATTTATCGCAATGTCCGTTGCACCGGCAAGATCCACGAATGTATCGATCGGCTGATGTCCAAGGAATCTAACGCAAGACTCCAGCCCAAGCTCAGCCACGCGCGCCCGTGCCTCAGGAAATCCGATTTCCCGACCCGCGAAGAAAAGCAGTGCGTTCGGTAACTCCCGAGTCAGTTCGTGGAAGGCTTCAATGACTTCCACACACATTTTTGTAGAACTCAAAATACCGAAACATCCGAATAGCAATGCCTCTGGCGGTAGACCAAATTGCTCACGCACGCGGATCTGATCTTCACGAGATGCCTCATACACCTCTGCGCCATGCGGAATGACAGCTGACTTACAAATGTATTCGGGATTTCGCTTCCGCAGCTCATCTTGCCCCCACCTATCGTGCAATACAATGCGAGAACTATTCTCAAGAACACGGCGATTGAGATAGATTCCTCTGCGAACGCAAGCCCGAATCAATCCGCCTTCTTCGCCGGCCCAGTCGTGTTCGGATGAGCGATAGGATTCGACCCATTGTGGATCGCAATAGGCAAGCTCCCGTTCAAAATAGTCGCCAGGCGTATCAGCCTGCTGGCCCATCCAATACTGAAAACCTGCCAACGCGAAGTCGTGCAATGTCACTACTCCGCCCCTGCGCTGCAAGGTCTCATATATAAAGCGGTGATACGAAGAATTGCCCATCTGGTAAACGACTTCGTGATATTGCACAGCGTGGTCAAAGCGTTCAAACAAGCGATAGTCACGACAGGCAAAGTCCCCGTGCGCCAAACCGGGCTCGGGTTCATATCCTGGCTCGTGATACAAGTCGATTGAATAATGCTTTTTCAGCTCATTCAGCAACTTCATCGAATAGTCCGCGATCCCCGACTGTTTCGGAGGAAGCGGTGCAAAGAACGCAATTCTTGGGCGGTCACCCGACGACGGCGAATTGCGGTGTCGCGAAGTTTTTTGCTTCGGAGACAAGGCATTCAGTGCGAGTTCAGCCGTCTTTGACCAACTGAACTCAGCGGCTTGCAACGGGGCGGCGCGACGCAAACGGGTGGACTCAACCGGATCTGTCAGAATTCGTTCTAGCTGTCTCGCAATATCTGCAGGGTCATTCGACTGTGCGAGAAGCCCTGCATTCCCCACCACTTCCGGTTGCGAAGAGTTATTCCCGGCAACCACCGGAGCACCACAGTGCAGGGCCTCAAGGATGGGCAGCCCAAAGCCTTCGTATGTCGAGGGAAATGCAAATGCCGCGCAACGTTGGTAAAGCAATCGAAGTTGAGCGTCGCTGGTCGCATTCGTCAGCACAATACGATCAGCAATTCCAATTTCTCGTGCATGTCGCTTAACGGTCGTCACCTCGGATTCGGTCATCGCACACGTAACTACCAGTTGATGTGAGTTGCGTACACGCGCAGGCAAGATCTGAAAAGCACGCATCAGTACGTTCAAATTCTTGCGGTCATCCATTCCGCCTAAGTTGAAGACGAAAGGACTATTAATCCCTAGTGCTTTCAGTTGCTTGCGTTCAAGGCTCGATTCGTCTCGAAACTTGGGTGGCTGGAAAAAGTCCGGACGACTCGCTGCGCCGATGGTTACGACCCGACGCGCCTCAGATCTCATTACCCGTAGCACGTCTTGTCGTGTGGCTTCCGATATTGTTAGCAGTGCATCATAGGAACGTAGTCTTCGCAGTGCCTGGTAATACCTGCCAGCCGTAGTTGGGCAAGCAAGATACGATTCCTGAAAGAGCGCGGGAATCAAGTCGTAAAAGATTGCTGCCAGATGGACACTTCCGTCCACAGGGGGCCGCGGGGGACAGAACCCAGGCGTGAGATCCAGCGGACTGGTGATCAGCAACGAATCGATTTGGTCTGGATTAACTCGAATGAGCTCTTCCAAGGATTCACCAATACTCCACTTCGGCGAACCATTGGCCAAGGTTCTCACCGAGATGTTTGATGAACTGGGTGGCTTCCAGTGCGAAACGCTTGAGTGGTAATACAACACCACTTGGTGCGCCAGGTCGTGCTCGAGTAGAGCCTCGATCAGTTCAATCGTATAGCGTCCCACCCCGCGTGGCCGACCGCCACCGTGCGATCCGGACGACTGCACGCCCAGCATTTCAATCCCGATTCGCATCGCTGCCCCCTCCGGTGGGTCATCTTGCGAGATACTTCCGTGTGGCCTCATCCACGACCAAGACAGAGGCAAGCATCGCGGCCTAGCCCATTCCGTGTGGCTTTGGTTCCGAGGCGAGCAAATTGCCAAGTACTCCGGCGCGTCTGTCGTTCTGCGCAACGATATCGCCTGCGGCAGTTGCTAGCTGCTGGCTGATGTTATCGGTGCCAGTGCCAGTGGCGGTTGACGAAATGTGCAGCGGAGGGGGTGGTTCCGCTAGGGAGGGTTCTCACTGCTAAGCCGGACATCGCGATGCTACGGTACACACGATTACAAAAGGTTTTGCCGGCAATGGATCAACTGAAAACCCGCCGCGCAAGCCCGATAATCGATATATTCCGCAAACAATTGCTGGAATCTGCCCATGGGATTCGCCGGGCCGCTAGCAGGTGGCAATGATCCACGTGTGTAGTTCGTGCTAACGAGACTCGGTCGATTCGTGGAATCCCGCACCAGCGTTTCCATTGGCAGTCCTCGGACGCAACTCACCTTAAAGTGTTTCGCAGTTTCCTGAGAACAAATACTTCAGCCCGTCAATGCTCGCACTTGTTCTAGTGTTCGCTTTCTGTTTTGGGGTCTTCACGGAGGTCTGGTCACGATCTTACACAATCGGATAGCCCTTCGATCTAGCACCAAGAGCAGTAGGGCTGTAGACTCCCCGCGGCAAACTTGCTGCCAATGTCCCCGCGTATCTGGAGGAGAACTATGGCCACCCAGGTTTCAACTACGATGACAGAGATTCCGCAGGGGCAACAACGGTTGCGATCGCAGCTCTGTACAGAAGTGCAACTGTGCTCCCCGACTTATCGAGCCTGGTGTGAGAAGATTGTTGAGCCGCAGATCCTACACCGCAAAGTGTGGGAGTATTATTACATCTGCCAAGGCTTGTACGAACGGGGAATGCTGAACCCTGGGAAGCGTGGACTGGGTTTTGCAGTAGGGCAAGAACCACTCCCGGCGACATTCGCCAGTTTCGGGTGCGAGATCGTTGGAAGTGACCTGGCTCCTGAGGATGCCCGGGCCGACGAATGGATGCAAACGGGGCAGCATGCAAGTAATCTTGCGACACTCAACCGTAAGGAGATCTGCGATCCAGAAAGCTTCTCACAACTCGTGCGCTTTCGGGCAGTCGACATGAACGTGATTCCCGAGGACCTGACAGGCTTTGACTTCACCTGGTCCAGCTGTGCCCTCGAACACTTAGGATCGCTCGAGGCGGGGATGGCCTTCTTTGAAAACTCGATGCGTTGCCTTCGTCCCGGCGGAGTAGCCATCCACACGACCGAATTCAATTTGGATAGCAATGACGACACGATAACTAGCGGTCCTACT